CTACAGGTAGGGATCGCCCAATCGTGCCGAAACAATATCGACGCAACGTCTTCGATACGTTGCACAGACTTTCTCATCCAGGTGTTCGTGCAACCATAAAGCTTATAGCAGAACGGTTTCGCTGGCCTGGTATGAATAAAGACGTGAGGGAGTGGGCACGCTCCTGTGTAAGCTGCCAGAAATCTAAGGTTATTAGGCATAACAAATGTCCCTTAGGCTCGTTTAAAACTGCCGATGCTCGCTTCGACCATGTTCATTTGGATTTGGTAGGACCTTTAGCACACTCAAATAGATATTCTTATCTTTTAAACTGCGTAGACCGTTTTACTCGATGACTAGAAGCAGTACCCACCAATGACATTACTGCTGAAATAGTGGCCCGCCGCTCCGTCGAACGATGGGTAGCGAACTTCGGCCGCCCAACAACAATCACTACAGATCTTGGACGTCAGTTCGAATCTGAACTTTTCTGTTGTCTGACCGCAATATTAGGAATCACTCGCTTTCGAACGACGGCCTACCACCCACAAGCATACGGGTTAGTAGAAAGTTCACCGACAACTAAAAGCGTCGCTATCAGCCTCAAACATTTCTCAGTGGACTGACGCTCTTCCACTCGTCTTACTAGGCATACTCAATGCAGTGAAATCTGACATTGGATACACTGCATCTCAACTCGTTTATGGTACGACCCTTGGACTTCCAGGAGAGTTCGTGGACCCTTCATCCTCTTCGATGGACATGGATCTAACCTCCTACGCGAACAGGCTTACAAACGCAATGCGTTCAGTTAAACCTGTTTCCACTCGACCACAATCAACTGACGTTTTCGTTCAACCTGACTTACGATATGGTACACACATCTTCGTACGTCGAGACTCGCATCGACGACCTCTCGAATCAACATATGAAGGACCTTTCAAAGTTCTTCAACGCGAATCTAAGTACTATATAATAGATAAGAACGGAACCAACGAAAGCATCAGTATCGATCGCCTCAAAGCAGCGTATTTAGAAGGAAATCCTATTCACGTCGATTTTCCTTCAATACAATCGCACGACACAACTCTTGCCCTAATAATACCTCAATCGACAGCCGACACACACGTTGATACTTCGACAGTATCCGTAAATAAACTCAAAACAACTCGTTCTGCAAGAAGAGTAAGATTTCCAGAACACTTGAACGATTACTGCACGTAAGACACAAGTCAACATTTTATATCCCCTCGATTTTTCCTGGTACTATATATAATTTTTTTTAAAAAAACCTGAATTTAATATGCTTATATATTATTTTTTTTATTTCAAAAAAGAAAAAACAAAAAAATAACGATATTATAAACCTAGCAAGCTATCAGAAGAGTGTATACCGACGAAAGACTCGTTGGGTTTAAACTTCTGGCTGGCCACGTCTTAGGGTCATCACTACCCCACTAGGGGGGAGTGATCTGTAGCGGTAAATAATTCCCCAAAATCAAATAGCGCTTTAAGTTTTCGACATTGGATGCTGACCACAGTTTTAGTGGACTCATCTAGCTGAAGGCGCTCGGTCAAGCATCCGCACCAGATCACGTGTGGGAACGCCGTGCTCAACATCTGCCTCAATCGCTAGCCAGATTAGTGCAAACGATCCTCGATATATTGATATCTTATCAAATATATCTTCGATCTCCTCGCTTCTGTCTTTTGATTTTACTTGGTGGGTGTGCTTTGTATTAGAAGGTGTTACTGGTTAAAGCGTTGTCAAACTCCGAATACCTGTGGCATCTTCACGGTAAATTATGAAGGTTATAACTCCGCCTGTAGCTCTCCTAGTGTCACTGCCGGTCCCAAGCCAGGATAAAAGAGGAGGGTTGGGCATGGTGTTAGCGTCCCCATCACGTAGGAAACTAACTCACTAAAAAATGCTAACTAGAAAAAATAACTCAAACCATTTAAACTCTGCCCTCGGAGTTAGAAGGTCTTCATTTAGAAGAAATATGACGCCTCAGGGTGAAAGCCGAGTTCCTTCGGAAGCCATGAGGCCGATGCTCCTTCTCACAACCAGTGCAACAATTTTTATAGGTACATGGAACGTCCGGACAATGTGGGAGACCGGGAAGACCAGTCAAATAACAACGGAAATCAGGAGATACAACTTGACAGTACTGGGAATCAGCGAAACCCATTGGACTCAAGCTGGACAACAAAGGCTAAATACGGGAGAGATGCTGCCATGCTCCGGTCACGAAGAGGAAAATGCCCCAAACACTCAGGGAGTTTCTCTAATGCTGTCCAAAGTAGCACAAAATGCACTTGTAGGATGGGAAACTCAAGGATCCAGAATTATCAAAGCATCATTCAAAACAAAGAAGGAGGGGATCAAAATGAACATTATCCAATGTTATGCACCCACAAATGATAGCAACGACGACATTAAAGATCAATTCTACGAGAGGCTGCAATGAATCATAGAGAAGTGTCCAAGAAAGGACCTCACCATTCTGATGGGAGATCTAAACACCAAAGTCGGAAGAGACAACACCGGATATGAATATATCATGGGACTGCATGGACTGGGAGAGAGAAACGAAAACGGGGAAAGATTTGTAAATTTGTGTGCATTCAACAAATTGGTCATAGGCGGCACAATATTTCCACACAAGCGTATACACAAAGCTATATGGATCTCACCGGACCACACCACAGAGAACCAGTTAGATCATATTTGCATCAATAAAATGTTCCTAAGGACAATGGACGATGTGAGAACCAGGAGAGGAGCGGACATAGCTTCAGATCACCACCTGGTTGTGGCTGATTTGAAACTGAAGCTAAAGAAGAACTGGACAACTGGACAAACAGCGCTGCAAAGGTTCAATACAGCCTTTCTTCGAGACACTGACAAACTCAATGAATTCAAGATAGCTCTCAACAACAGGTTTCAAGCCCTACAGGACCTACTGAAGGAAGAAGAAACTACTATGGAGGATAACTGGGAAGGTATCAAAGAAGCATTAACTTCAACGTGTCAAGAGGTTCTTGGCCCCAAGAAGCATCATCACAAGGAATGGATTTCTATAGAAACACTGGACAGGATCAAAGAAAGGAAGAACAGGAAGACAGCAATTAATAATAGTCGAACACGATCAGAGAAAGTCTAAGCACAAGCTGAGTACATAGAAGCAAACAAGCAAGTGAAGAAGAGCATTAGATCCGACAAGCAGAAATACGTGGAAGAACTAGCAACGACGGCGGAGAAAGCTGCAAGAGAAGGAAATATGAAACAGCTTTGCGATACAACGAAGAAACTAACAGGGAAATATAGTAAACCAGAGAGACCAGTCAAAGACAAAGAAGGAAGACCGAACACTGAGATTCAGCAACAGCGGAACAGTTCGGCAGAGTACTTCGAGGAACTCCTGAATAGGCCGGCTCCAATGAATCCACCGGACATCGAAGCAGCACACATAGATTTTCCTATAGATGTCAATCCACCAACGACGGAACAAATCAGAATGGCCATCAGACAAATCAAGAGCGCGAAAGCAGCAGGACCAGACAATATACCAGCTGAAGCACTGAAGACAGACATCGAAGTAACTACGAACATGCTTCATCTTCTATTCAAGAAGATTTGGGAGGAGGAACAAGTGCCGATGGACTGGAAGGAAGGACACCTCATCAAGATTCCAAAGAAAGGAGATCTGAGCAAGTGTGAAAATTACAGAGGCATTACACTACTGTCAGTACCAGGAAAAGTCTTTAACAGAGTGTTACTGAACAGGATGAAAGACACAGTAGATGCTCAACTTCGAGATCAACAAGCTTGATTCCGTAAGGACTGGTCGTGCACAGACCAAATTGCGACACTACGGATCATCGTCGAACAATCAATTGAGTAGAACTCGTCACTGTACATGAGAAGGCATTTGACAGTGTAGATAGGAGAACGTTATGAAAACTTCCTCGACACCACGGAGTTCCTGAAAAAATTGCCAACATTATCCGGAACTCATACAACGGACTACAGTGCAAAGTAGTGCATGGAGGACAGCTGACAGATGCATTCCAAGTGAGGACCGGAGTCAGACAAGACTGTCTACTCTCTCCCTTCCTGTTTCTTCTGGTGGTCAACTGGATTATGAAGACCTCGATATTTGAGGGAAAACACGGCATACAATGGACAGCTCAGAACCAAGTAGGCGATTCGGACTTCGCAGATGACCTAGCCCTCCTATCCGATACACACGAACAAATGCAGACAAAGACAACCAGCATAGCAGCAGTCTCTCATCAGTAGGCTTCAACATACACAAAGGGAAAACCAAGGTCCTCAAACACAACACGGAGAACAGCAATCCAATCACTCTTGATGGCGAAACTCTGGAAGACGTGGAATCCTTCACATACGTGGGAAGCATCGTCGATAAACAAGGAGGTTCAGATGCAGGCGTCAAGGCGAGGATTGGCAAAGCAAGGACAGCATTCCTTCGATTAAAAAACATATGGAACTCAAAACAACTTTCAACCAATGTCAAAGTCAGAATCTTCAATACAAACGTCAAGGCAGTTCTACTATACGGAGCTGAAACTTGGAGAACTACAACAACCACCATCAAGAAGGTACAAGTATTTATCAATAGCTGTCTTCTCAAGATACTCAACATTCAATGGCCGGATACCATCAGCAACAGCCTTCTGTGGGAGAGAACAAACCAGCTTCCAGCTGAAGAGGAAATTAGGAGACGACGACGGAAATAGATAGGACATACATTGAGGAAATCATCAAACTGCATCACGAGGAAAGCCCTAACTTTGAATCCTGAAGGGAAGCGGAAAAGAGGAAGGCCAAAGAACACATTACGTCGGAAAATAGAAGCGGATATGAAAGGGATGAATAAGAACTGGAAAGGATTGCCTAGGACAGGGTTGGATGGAGAATGCTGGTGAGCGGCGTATGCTCCTTCGCGAGGAGTAACTGGCGTAAGTAAGTATGAAGGTTATATAAAGCAGTGCAACATTTTAAAAGTCTCATTACATCAAGGTCTTTAATCATGATTCAGCAGTCGTAAGTATTAGTAATTCCGTTTGTAGATGTGTTTCTCAATCCGTGAGTTGTTTCTGAATATTTACAATTTAGTTCTTCTACATAAATTTCAAACAATACAGTTGGGTGAATGTGTTTACTTTGTATATATATTCTGTAGTATTGTAGGTAAAAAAAAACCAAAGCAAATAAAATAACATGACTTTATTCACTTGCCAAGTCATATTTGGGGTCACTGCTTTTAGCATCTGAGGTATTCTGCTTCATTTTATGAGTTCAAATGGTTGTGGACGGGAAAGAAGCTTTCACTTAACGGACTTCCATGTCTTGTAGCAGTGGATCACCAATACATTTAGGCAGGAACCAAAGTATATTAACGTTAAAAGAGGAAAAAGAGATGGGTAGATCGTTGTAAGGTTCTATCATTAGTACTTAAGAACATGTCCAGTTTTCTCTTAAAGGACTCCTGGGAAGTCGCTTGGACTAGCTCAGCCGGAAGCGGCTAATCGTCCACACTCAAAAATTCGCTGCCCATACCGAGTCGTGAACTTCCAAAAGCACACATCAAGACCCTTCAAGATCTAGAATCGTTGAGACGCCTTGTAGTGTCGGTCACTATGTTAAGCTCACATAATTTATTCCAGCTTCTGGACAGTCCAATTTATCCATTCTACTTGAGTCACGTTTTGACTTTGTCATTTATTCATTTATCATCCTTAATTGCTACAGCAAGTAAACTAGAAAGCCCTCTCTCAACTTGGTGTGAACGCTCATTGTGATTTTTTAATGTACCTGATCTTATGTGCTACAAAGCAGTCTGTTCCATCAACGGTCCCCAAAAGCCACAAGCAACCTACAATCATCAAGAATTGTACTTTACTATTGCTAAGACGCGAAAGGCACTGTTGGGCGGCATATAGCGGAACTAGTGACAACATCACATATAGGCAGTTCAAAGAAAAAATACACAGTTGTGATAAGAGAAGACAAGCTTCAGTATCAGATAAAGCTATTAGATAAATTTATCTGCAATTCTAAAAACTTTCATCTTGAGGTCTCTCTTCAACAAGCCAAGACCGGTGTTTCCTTATTGTTAGATCTTAATGTCCCAACAAACAACGACGGTGACACTGCCGACCTTCTTACAGGACAGTGTCGTCAAACATTTCAACCGTCACATACTAACAACATCGATGAGAACTTCACCTACAACTTGACAGGACTTTCAAATGTGAACCTGAGCGCTAGCTTAGCGCATCATAAACTGTAGCATCTAAACAAGGACACTTCTCCTGGCCTGAATATAGTTCATTCTGCTATACTGCGGCTTCAATCATGGCAACACTGCTTATCGTGATGTTTTCACATTCGCTTGGCTGAAGCACAGTGCCAGTAAATTGGAAGCTGGTTCACGTTACACTAATTTTAAATGAGATTAATGAAGAGAACCTTTAAGCTACCGACTGGTAGCTCATCTCTTAGTGCCCTCAAGCATAGAGTCCCTGATATGCGACGGCATACGTTAATAGGCCTTTACTCCCTCCTTACACTTTACAGTGACTATAGCATTAGGGTGCTACGGCACTTTGTACACTCCCAGTTCTGTACGAAAACTATGGATAGACTGGAAAAGCCAGTTAGCAATGTACCACGACTATTGAGCGACTTAATATCTAAAAGCAACCAAGAATCTCCAATCTAACAGCGTTTTCATGTTTAAATAATAAAGATAATTGAAAATGTAATTGTCTCATGTACTAATTTTAGTGCTTGGAATATCTTCCTAGGTAAAATGTTGTAAATAATACAAGCTTGGTAATAATCCTCCGATCTATTCTACTGCAATGAAGACTCTTAGAAGAACACACGACGTCTTCGAAACCGAGAAAAACATAGTTGAGGAACCAGAAATCAAAAATTTAATGTTGGATCTTGAAGACTGGTTCAGTCTTATAGTAAAATCTGAGAATATACTGAGTTGGAAAAATCCTCGATCAACATTGCTTGTGATATTTGCAATCACTATTTTGTTTCTGTTGGTTCACGTATACGAACCACCGGTTCTGTTTGTTATCGGTTGTTCAGGATTGCTTTTAAGCTTAATAGACTACTTCGGACCCTTAGTTTTGTCTAGGTAAGACCCACTTATCAAGTAATTAACTAAACCGCAGAGTGTTCAATAGGCCTCCAAGTTACGAGGACCACTGGTGTTATTGGAATTTTTGTAGACGTCTTGTCCACATGCGTCATGTACTGACCAAGTTTTTTGTTCTTGTGCATAAAGTTCGATTTAGAAACGCGACTCTACATTTTCTAACTAGTTCATCTGTTTTGTGCATAGTTGGATTTGTTGGACTACATATTAGTGATTTGTGTCTGGTTTATCTCCTAATACTCGTTTGCTTTATCACACCAAATCTGCATCCTAAAGGAATACTAAAGGTAAGACTTTTCTCAATCCTTAACTTTTAGAAAGCATGCCTAAAGGCTTCTGTTTGCACTTAACGTTTAGTTAAGTGGTTATTTACTAACCAGTCAGACACACCATAAGCTCACTTAATTGTTAACAAAAAACCAGATCATCTTGATAAGTACATTCACAAAACTCAACTAAAGTATCACAACATGTATTGGTAGTAACGAAATCCACTCATCATACATGATAATTAAATTGCCTTGTTTCTCGAAATAAAAACATATCGTAAATACTTATGTGATAAAAATTAGTCTATCTAGATGCACACTTAAGTATTGTTTTCTACTCATATAGTGAGCATGATTTGTGAATAAAGATAGTAAATTATTACCGATTAGTAAAGATGTGATTAATGCATACACGACGTGAGTACACAACCATTATGAGCAGTGCGCTTTTTTCCGCCAATGAACAATTTATACAATACTTTGTGTCAGTAGTGCTTAATCATCCCCCGAATGCCCTGTTACGGCTGAGGGTGGGGAGAGCCAGCTATCCCTCTCGAACTGCTCTCACATGGTCACGGGTATACAGCCACTACCAGGAAATTCCTACTCACTACCTTCTCGCGGCACCGAAAAGCGAATGTCAGGCGCCTTAAATTGGTCAGTGGACACAGAAAGTCCACCTAGGGGAGTTGGAAGACCCTGATTCCGAACCAATGGTGCACATGGACCCCAGTATCCTGAGGGAACAAATGGCGTATGAACCAGTAGTTGGTCGCCGGCTACCATGGGACTGCATCTACTGACGTCGCTTCATTGCCTTGTGGATCAGACGTTTGGGTCGAAGTCTCCGGGTGTGGTGCCCTAGGAAAACCACCTGCTCTGGTTTGGGCACTCGGGCAGTATCATGGCCCATACACAAATCAAGTGACTTGTGTGGCTCATAGTATTCTGTGCCCCTTTGTACCAACATTAATGTGTTCGAAGAATAAATAACGTCACATAATTGACTAAGTGTAGCTTTATTTATGTATGTGACCTTGAGAGGCACTCGTATGAGGTCTAGTAATGCTACCCAACCAACGAAACATGCAACATCTGCTAGTTAAAAGTGCTTTCAACACTAAACCATTGCATCTATATGACAATTATGCTAATTAGTAATACACCCTCACTTATGACTTGTTGAACAGTAATGTTTAGTTGTGCACACTTGTTCACCACACATAATTATGATCTTCATAGAGTCGTAACTGTAAAAGTGACAAATCCTTTGTAAGATCCTATAATGATCTCCGAGTATTAGTTTGGACATTCCTATTCATGACACATTCTTAGTGGTCGGTTGTGAAGAGATTCTAGCAGCACTTTTCCTAAAGTACGTTCTAACGATGCTGTCTGAAAAGATCTTTCCTTTAGAAATGGCATGTACCTGCCCTTGCAGAAATGGATTTTATTGTATTAAGAGAAACGGGCCGAATAAAGCTCATTAGCTAATTCATTTCGATCAAGCGCCATTGAATATGAAAGGCACTCAACACACCTACGATCATATGAAAATAGCCAGCGACAATAAGCCAACAAGTGACTGGGTCAATACGAGGCTTGAGAAGTGTGAATAAAGTACCCAATCCATAAACTAGAACAGCTTAAGTATGCAGCAGTGTATTTATGAGCGGTAATGAATTGATCATGTTATGTGTGTCCACAATCTGGAACATACGTTCAGAGATCATGTTCTTCAAACGACGATTTTGCAGACAAGAACTTTATTTGCGCAAATTGTAAGAATTTATGGAAACTGTGACAAATCAAATTACAAGACCAGCCATGTTTAACTATCCCCACAAGCCATGACCTCTTTTGGAAAAATATTCTTTGTTATGTTTTCGTAATTTAGAGAAGATAATGCTCTTTTAGAACGTGTTTTCAAAAGAGCCACTGTAAAGACATTTGAACTAAGGAGTAAATTACAAACTGTAATTTAGAAAGGTGACGTCGATACGATCATGATGTATCATATCGCCCATAGTTCTCTACGCTTGATACTTCTCAATAATAAATCAAACTCAGAAGGACGCCCACCCAAATGAGAGCACGAGAAAGCAAGTAGTAAATTCGGTGAGAATGTTTTCGCGGTTCGAATCAAAACGTTTTAGTACATTTGACCGAAAGCCACAGTAGTGCTATCTTCAACTGAACCTTTTAAAAGAAGGCTCAGTGATTACTTCGGAGTACATAATTATCACCGATTGACCAACTTCTCTTCCCAGGGTAAGTTGTGATGTGGAGCATGTCTGGTTAGTCATAGACCCAACTTGATGTCGGCTAATCAAACTGGCCGAAAGTGAAAATATATTTGTTTGTGGATAATCTTTCCTATGATTCCTAATATCACGGATGTCACGTTAATGGGCATATGTTTAACAATATCATTACGTGATCTTCATTTGAATCTATGGTTGTGGAGCGATGTTTTCCACACTGACAGGTAGGCTACATAATCCATAGAGAGATTGGACTGAACTTGCTTTAAGGTATAGAACGTGAGCATTATGGGAGGAACAAGAAAATACGCTTATTACATAACACAACAAATATAATCCACTTCACTATGACGAATCACTCGTACGTCTCAAAACATACACTTCGCGTGAACTCTTAAAATGGAAACGCTTTCTCACATGCTTTAGATATTTTTTAACCAGTTCAGTTTTAGGATGTATTACATTGATATCATCATATTAACATATATCGGGTGCATTTTACTCTTGGAAAGCAGTTTTGAGGGTTACTTATCAGTTAACGCAACACTATTGTCGACATACTTTACTAAATATTCTGTGTAAACCCTTAAATGTTGATATTAAAATGAATTAGTCTCCTGATCATACCACGTATCGGTCGCAGCTAGATCACAATAAGACTTCAATCTTTTATTTTTTTGTGGGGTATATATGCTTGTGATTAACTCTCAGTTACTTGTTTGCTTACATGATGGCGACTTTTTATCCATCATTATCATTCTTGTCATCATCAGCCGGCCTGATTATGAAAGATAGAAATGTTTTCATGAATCTGTATAAGAATTTCGATCCAGTTAAATTTATCTTATAAATGATTTAAAAACTTTCGGACGATTGTGAAAGGTAGAAGAACTTTCCTTTTTACAGGTCATTGTTTGGATCCTCTGGTATCCCATAACTATTCTTCGATCTTTTGCATCAAGATTCCGGCCGCGAATACAGAAGCTTTTTACCCGGACCCTGCGTGTATCAAATAAAAACACTGAGAAAGACCAGTGACACTATTTTCTTATTTAGTATTAAACACATTTCTGCTTTTACTTTAAATATTGTCCAACATATCAGTATATAATTTCAATCAATGTTACTGGTTACATAAACTAATTTGTGCATTGTCTTAAAGTGCTTAATATGTTACTAGAAGGAAATGTCATGGATCGCAACCAATTACTTTGCAAGACATCCAGGTCTCAAAGTGTCACTAGGTCGAGAAATATTCGTACAAGTAACTGAGAAATATGTGACACAGAATAGCCAAAAATATGTAACTACCACTTGAGTACAATTGGTTAATATGAGCTTAATACTCCAAAAAGCATAACAGGTTGAACTTATCCCCAAGATCGCTTACGAATTGTTAGAACAGTAAGTATTTGACCAGATAGGGTTTTATTAGAAGGAACAACCACAGACTTATCAAACAACACAGAAAAATACAAAGAGGTTATTTTAAACGCAGTTTAAATATAAAGAGAGTGTATACAGATTTTTACAGATGACTTGTGTACACGAGTGAGGAAGTCGAAAGCAGTTGAGCTAAAGTGTGTATTATCTTCGGTCACTTAGCGTCTACCCTGGTGCCGACGAATTATTTGTTCAGAGCGATCTATATAAAAAAAGTAACAGAGTAGATTACCATAAAAAGTTTGTGGAGATTGTTGAATCTTCGCAGATTACATTACGCATTGATCCTAGACAAGCATTGGCTTTCTGAAGGCAATAATATTTAGGGCAGCCAACACTAAATTAATGCAACATGCTCTTGTTTAAATTAGTTGTAGCATAAAACATGATTTAACTTTTCCAAACAATAAACTACCTTTTTTAATTTGAGGCTTATTTTTTATTAGTGCCAGGTATTCGTTCACGACTGCATTTTCACCATCATTTTCGACTTTTGAAGACTTCTTGTCTGGCTGTCGTTTTTGAGCGATTGAGGTGAACCAGTGCCAGATACCAAATAGAATTGCTATACTCAAGGCAATTACTAAGACAACTAAGAAAATCAATTCAGTGTCTACACCTTCTTCGATTTCAAACAACTGAAGGGAACGATTACAAAGTATAAAAAGCTTACGTTAACAGTTTGATTAAATAACTTATGAGCATAATAAATGTCATTATTGTCGTGATAGTAGACGACAATAGACAGGTCAAAAGATCGACCAGCTAATTCAGGAGCGGGTTTGAATCTGTAATAAAGGGAAGTCTAGAAATTATTTAGTAAACGGAACCAAACAAACCTCTTGACCAGGCTCTAATGTCTCGTGGAGTCGTTGCTTGGTAAAGTTCTGAATGTGATAGTCATAGTACATAGGATAATGAAGTGCCCCTTCTATAAAATCTAGTTTAAATTGTTCACCGTTTGTCGGATTGGTATTAGCCAAGGAAGCCACAAGAGATGAGATTTTTCCGACGGGCAAGTTTATTTCACGACGTCCAGAGTAAAGACCATATGGAGGTTTACTAAGTGCTACCAAGACACCAACAGCTGGAGATCCTTTGAATCTATCGTCTTCATTTGTTACAGAAGGTAAGAGCGTAGAGTCTTCCTCAGACAAAATAGTTGCGTCTTCAGCAAAAGAGTTAAGCACTTGAAAGTAGAAAGTTAATGAATTAAGTCAGAGATCCAAACAAGACGTATAAATTATAGATATTGCTTTGATCACGATTAGATAGATATAATATGTAGTAAATATTCTGCACTAGTCTCAAAAGTAATAATCCTTTAAATATTTCAAGGATGTTCATACCGCAGGTTAACTAAGCTTAAATAGTCGATATACAGACTAGGTGCAAAATATTACGTTAAAGTGGCTGGAGATGACTTGAATTAGCAACTAACCTTTGAAAATGAGGTGAGTCAGTTATCACTTGTTTTTACTACTTGGAAGTGTAGACGAATTTGCTGTCTGAACTCCATTCTGGAAATTAGGTTTGAATTATGATGGTAGATCTATAATGCTTAAAAATTGCTTCTAATAAAAATGGCCATTAAGAAAGCTGATTACTCTAATATTGCTTTCATCAGCTTAATCTCTCTTTGAATACGTTAATATGGCAACACAAACAATCTTCCCTATTACATTTATACTGAGGTCAACTTGACGTTCTTCAAGTTGATTCGATGTTGTGATACATTATTTATTTATTTATTATTTATTTGAACACATAAATATTGGTACAGGGGGGCACCAAATATATATGCGCCACACAAAACAGTGATAATTAGAAGAGAAGGAGAAAAGAGAAGAAAAAAAAAAGTAATGAACGTGGGGAATTATAAAAAAAAGAAGAGAGAGAGAACAATGGTGGGGGAAACGGAAAGGTACAATCAGAACAGATCTTTCAGTTAAGGAAGAATACGAAAGTAAAAGAAGGTTACAGCAGGATCGCCACTGGCTTCTATTCTGAGCCATATCTGATAACGTCTCTAGCCACTGCGTTACACCATCTCTCGGACCCCAACCAGGGAGTCGTGAAGGACCAACATAAGCTAGCCCTTTGCAGCTTTCTTTCATACCACGACACCATGTCATATACTGACCACCTCTCCGCTTTTTCCAACCAGTCCCAGAGTCGGCAAATAATGCACGACGTGGAATTCTCTGGGACGACATTCGTAGAACATGTCCAAGCCACCGAAGTCGGTGTTTCAAGATGGTGACACCAATTTCATTATCGTCTCTGTGACCGAACACTCGATGCCGAACCTCTGCATTACTGACATGGTGTTGCCACTGGATGCCAGCAATCCTTCGGAGGCAACGATGATCGAACACAGAGAGTCGTCTAACATCCTCAACTCGGAGAGGCCAGGTTTCACAAGCATAGAGCAAAACTGCTCTCACCGTCGCGTTGTAGATCCGACCTTTTACAGCCAGACTAACATCACGAAGGCGCCAAAGATGGCCCAGATTGGCATAAGCCGCTCTGGCTTTCACTATACGTGCATTGATCTCATCACTCACGCCACCACCAGCACTTATGCAGCTACCTAGATACACGAACTTCTCGACTACTTCTATCTGCTCACCATCCAGAGTGAGTACAGGATTAGAATCCTGCCAGTCTTGTAGAAGTACTTTGCACTTCGAAGGTGCAAAGCACATACCATACCTACGGACACTGATTGCCAACTGATTAAGTGCGGATTGCATGGCTTGGGCATTCTCGCACAGTAAGACAATATCATCCGCATACTCAAGGTCGAGAAGTCTTTCTCCAGGCAACAGATCCACACCACCATTACTTACATCCGTCAGAGCTGTTTCCAGAATGTCATCGATGGCAAAGTTGAAGAGGAATGGTGAGATTGGGCAACCCTGCCTAACTCCACTGCTTGAATGGAATAGTGGAGAAAGGTGGTTGTATGCCCTCACTCTACCTGAGGTGTTTGTATATAAGGCTTTTAGGATGTTAATAAACTTCTCAGGCACACCCCTCTTCAATAGACAATCCCAGAGAACAGTTCTGTCCAACGAATCGAAAGCAGCCTTGATATCAAGAAACACTACGATTGTTGGCCTTTGATAAGTATGGCGGTGTTCTAACACTTGGCGGAGGGTGAAGATATGATCAATACATCCTCGACCAGAACGAAACCCAGCCTGCTCCTCGCGAGTCAATCCTTCTCGGGTTCTGAACAACCTACGAAGTATGACGGAAGCCAATAGCTTGGACGCAATCGGAAGTAGACTTATCCCCCGATAGTTGTTACAGGAACAACGTGAACCCTTTTTAAAGATAGGGACAACTATCGACTCATTCCATGACTTTGGTACACTCTCTAGTTCCCAGACCTTTGTAAACAACGTCGTCAGTCCTTTAGTCAGAAAGTCACCACCATCTTTAAAAAGAGCCGGGGGTAAGTCGTCTGGGCCTGGTGATTTGTAACGTTTCAAGAGTTGGAGTTCCTTGCGGACTTCCGCCTCATTTGGTGGATCAGTCGTCACCGGCCAAGGAGGGCAGGACAGTCTGACCGATGTTGCCGGAGCAGCAGGCCAGTTGAACTGCCCTTCGAAAAATTCTGCCCATCGTCCAAGACGTCGATGGATGTTAGTGATTGGCGTTCCGTCATCTTCGCAGATTGTTTCGCTCACACCAGACTTCTTGCTGCCAGTGGCTCGGATGAGTTGGAAGAGCTTCCGGTAATTACCAGATGCAGCTGCTGCTTCCAACTCACTGGCACGCTCCGACCACCAGGTTTCTCGGTCCTTACGCAAGCTTTGCCCGATTTCATTACGTAACAACCTTCGTCTGTGGTCAAACTCACGGTCACCCGGAGTAGACCGACGGGCTTCAATCAGTTGTAAGGAACCAGAAGAAACCCAGTGCTTGTAAGCGGGACGTTTCGCAATCCCACAGCTGACTTGACCCGCCATTTTCATGGCGTCATGCAATTGCAACCAATGCTCATCTATACTTTTCGGTGGAATAGTGGCTAGCCTAGAAGCTAGCTCGGCTCGGTACTTACTAGCAACAGAAGTTGCAGCCAGCTTGCTAACATCAATCCTTTGGTGGCGGTCACTTCGTTGTCCAATGAAAAGTAAGGTAAGATTGGCGCAGACCAGAGCATGATCAGATTCCAGATAGGTACTCCAAAAGGAGCGGCAGTCTTGTACACAACCGCGCCAGCGGTAGCTGATCGCGATGTGATCAATCTGAGTCCAGGCTTGAGATGCAGAAGGGGGACGCCAGGTGGCACATCGGCGATGACTGTGCCGAAAGTTAGTGCTAGCCAGAAACAGGTTGTGGTCTGTGCATAGTTGCAGTAGACGTTCCCCGTTATCTGTCCTGCGACCAACGAGTCCCCATCGGCCACCTAAACGACTCTCTTCTGTGCCTAGACGCCCGACCTGAGCATTCAGGTCTCCAGCTAGTACTACAATATCTGTCGAGCGCACTTTCTGGAGGAGAACAGTTAACTGGTGGTAGAACTCATCCTTGATTGCATCCGGGCTGTAATCTGTCGGGGCATAGGCGGAGATGACGAAAAGACATCGTTTCTCACGCCGATTTCTTCTCACTCTGATGGTACTTTCTAATCTAACAGCACATAACCGACTGTTAATGGGGATCCAGTCGACTAGTGCTGCCTCAGCTCTTGCGCTTAGTGCGAC